CGGGCATATGACGGCCTGACAGGCAAAGTAAATGCCCTGGTGGAGTTGATCAACTTTCAGAGAGACATCACGCGGAGACACGTGGTAGTGCATCTAGGGGGTTCTGATACCCAAATTTTGCCAATGACAGGGCCAAATGGCTTCTTCTATTTGTCACTGATCGGTATTGTTCATGCATCACAGTGAATGTGCATAAGTTCGGCCAACGCGAGATTACTCCCGACATGGTTAGGCGGACTTCTCCGGCAAGCTAACCCCTCTACTAGGCTTTGAAATTATTCACCCTAAGTAGCCGCAAGACAATTTGCTAGCCTGCTGTGCAGGCCCCGCGGCAGTGGGGAAGAGTTTTTAACGCGTTACTTGCCAGCCATCCTACATAGCCGCCGAGAGAAGGTTCCATTCCGCCCACGGATGGACGGCTATATTAAAATAACGCGTAAAAACTCTTCCCCACCGCCGCGGGGCCTGGGGTCACAGGAGGCTAACAATTTGCCCAGTCTCTAAATGCGTCTCTGACGGAAACTACTAGTACTACGGTTATCAGCCACCTCACCAGACCAGACATGCCGAAAAAAGTGTAAAGTTAATTATCTTCGCTGTAGTTCCTCTGGGAGAAGACACGAACATCTGTATCGGTATAGCCGGTATAACCGCCCTTCGGCGTAACACACCAGCTTCGCAGGCACGCGGCACGGCGGCAGCTAGGTGTATCACACCGAACGGCTTGTTGTTTTTTTTTAAAAATATAATTTCCAACATGTAATCACAAGACGTGGTGACGGCACACTCAAGTTTTTCAAACTTAAATTAATGCCGCCACCAACACAGGGGACTCATTTTCACCTGAGCGAAGTGAGGAAAGTCGTGTAAAGTGCCTTTCCCAAGGGCACAAGATCGGTGGCATGTTAGGACTCGAACCCGGGACCTCTAGGTTCAGAGTCGAGCACTCTGCCGCCACGCCACACGACCCCACGGCTTGTTATCATTACAGAATAATAACATTTTCTCATTAATTGTGCAAATTAAGTCTTTTTTTTACATAATCAATATCTGCCTGTGTTTATCTCGTTCTCAATTAGCAATGTCACAAGCTTCATAGTCCTATGATGGAATGCAGATGATTTATAGAATTTTCCCATAAATTATGCAAATTACATCAGATTTGCATAATTGTTACATAATTATATTAAGCATCGCGTAAGCTACCTGCATACCCAAAATCATGACGATCCGTCAACCGCTTCTTGAGTTATGCTCTTTGGATATTTTCAAACAGATAGTCCTGCAGTTCCAGAGCAAGCCTCTAGGGGGCCCAAACTCACGTCATTTCTTCCCCAGCACAAGAGCTACCTACCATCCAAATTTCGTCACCCTAGCATGTTTAGATCATGAGATATCAAAACCGGAAGTTCAGCTGCAGTACCATAACAAGCCGCTAGGGGGCCCAAAATCTAATCATTTTGAGGTCTCATTAAGACCTACCCACCTACCAAGTACATGTATCAAAACAATCCATCAAGGCCTTCTCAAGTTATGTAGACACGGTTTTCAAAATGTTTGGCTAAACCCAACAGTTGACGCCAAGCATTTTGGAAACGTGTTCAAACAACGTCTGAAAGACACGTTTGTTTCTGGCTGGAGGCAAGAAATAAGAAATTACAATAAACTGCAAACCTATTCTAAATTCAAAACGGACTTCACTTTTGAGAAGTACCTTTCATCAATCCAAAACAAATCATTTGTTGCTAACATAACCAAACTGCGAATCAGTGCACATTGTTTAGAAATAGAAAAAGGTCGTTATAAGAATGTACCAGCCACTCAGAGACGCTGTCCTACATGTAAACATACTGTTGAAGATGAATTTCACTTTTTATTATCTTGTCCCATGTATACTGAAGAAAGGTTGACACTTATGAATATGATTTCACGTAACTCAAACATTACCTTACCTAAGACAAGCTCAGATACTTTTAATTTACTGATGTCATGTCCTGAACCAATATCCTTGTTTATGGGCCAATTCATATCCTCTGCTCTTCGGAAAAGAAACAATATCATCTGTGACACCTTGAACTGATGTTAACATTGTATCCATGTTCCATATATATTGTATAATTCATCACGCACAATTATAGGGTAGCGTTAGAATAAGGTATCTAGAAGTAGATTTTAGTATTGTTGTTATCTTTTGATTTAAACACTTGCCATACATTGTATCCATTGCAATTGTTGCGCAATAAAGATTGATTGATTGATTGATTGATTGATTGATTGAAGTTATCGTGTTTACAGACGGACGGACGGACGGACGGACGGACACACACACGAACGCCTCTGAAAACATAACCTTCTTGGCGAAGTTAGTAATGGACTGTCATCTAAGAGTAACGTTAAACATTATAGATTATTACAATGTTTGCAAAATGACATTTTTAGCAAGTCTAAGAAGGGAGGATGGCAGCATTTTCTGACACATAAAGATCTCAATCCACGGGGTCGCAAATTGGAGCTTCTATGGCCCTGGATCTTCTCTGGTATACCATCCCTTTATTTCGGCCAATTTCTACTATTTTTCCAGCGATCCGCGGTGCCTGGTAGAGGCTAATGTGTCAGAGGAACAGGGCAGTTAAAAAACTTCACAATCTTCCCTCCCAACATATCTGCTTGAAGAGAAAGTGCCTCTCATCCATGCCACCTGTCGACTTTCATTTAAAAACGCAACAACCTTCAGTTCAACGTCGACTATGTCTGAGATGTAAAACTAACATCTTTCAAAGAAAACACACAGACACCGTACACTTGATGTGTCACATCTTTTGATAGCTTTACCGCCGGTTTTTGAATCAAAGTGTTCCCGCCACCGAGACGTACTGAGCACCTTTAACGTCTATAAGGATAACTGGTCAAAGTTCACCAGACTGAGACGTCACTTAAAATGGCGGACAATGGAACAGTTCAGCTGGTAGGTAGTACCCCCTGGTTATTCTGTCGTCATCCTCGCTACGAATATTCAGCAAAGGTACGTCACAATATCATGAATAAGCGCCCCAACACTCTGCGTTTGTTTTGGCCAGGTAACGCCGACGATTAGTGTTGAATGCGCAGAGAACGGAGCTGTGGCGGCTGCGGGGAAAGATCGGGAGAGTTCCGGGAGCAAACGGCACTCTCTCTACTCCACGTCAGGCCGGAGCAGACAGACCAGCACGTCGGGCTTCCACAGGACGGCTAGTGCTGCTGGGTAGGCAAACACACTGGTTTTAGACTGTACATTCAGATACAGAAACACACGGTACCTTAGCAAGGTAAAGGTGGCGTGATGTAACGTTATATAAATTAAGTGATGTGATTAACTCATTTGCATTTTGAGTGTCAGTGACTAGTGCAAGCAACAAGTGAAATATATCAAGTGTGAACAAGTTAGGACACAACAACAGCATGAACACGGAACAGAAGAGAGACTGCTGATCAGTCTTTTGTTGCTTTTGGAGAAAATGTTTTAGTTTCTTCTAGACAAATACTATTTATTTTTGAAGCAGGTCTGTAGTACTGTTTGCACCCACATCTTGTTCAGACATCTTGTACTTATGTTAAGTTAGTGTTGTGTGCTTTATTGATCCGCAACCATGACAACACAACAACTTCGAATGAACATTTATTCTCTACTCCAGACAGGATACAGCTCAACAGCCTGAAAAATATAACCTGTTGACATGTTTCAAGGGAATAAAATTCCTCATTAAATATTTAACGTTAATGTTTAAAGAAATAATTTAGAATCTGACAAGACTGATGGAAAAAAATCTGCAAAAGCGATTAGTGATAATATTAAAAATGGCAGGTGGTGACTGGTGAGGTAGGTGACAGACTACTAGTATCTGAGGACCTGTCAGGATGTTGTTCTAGTGAGGCATGTGTATAAGTCATCTCTGCCATTGGCATGAGTCGCTTGAACTTGGCAAACTGAGTTGACGCAAGTTACCAGTCAGGATAGCAGGATTGCCAAATTTGTGACATTTCAGTATTTTTACTTCCATACACATGTACTATGTTTACATATTCAAATTTGAGAAAATACTGGACTCTTACTGCAGCTCTGAGACCTTCCAACTGTAATGCAAAAACATGTTTAGGACAACAGTTTGATTGGTCAGTGGCAAATTAAAGCAGATTTGTCTGTATCTGTATAGCTGGTATAACCACCCCTTGGCATAACACACCAGCAGAAAGTTGCCACATGTAACTTGTACATGTACGTCAGGGCTCGAAATCCTTTTTTTCAGGTACGTGCAAAATTGCACATTGGCAAAACTTTTAGGTGCAATTTGAAAAATTTATGTGCAAAATTATATTTATGATCATGTCATTATAATCATGTGCATTTTGCATATTGCACATGGGTATTTTGAGCCCTGTATGTGTACTCTGAGTACCAGTTTGTGGCTTACTACTATTTTGACAAGTTTCACATCTGCCCTCCATTAGTAGTCAGACAATTAGTTGCTCAATTTGATTTTGGGCTAGACGTAAACCTAGCCATGGTGATGTCTTGGAAGTAATGACAAATGAATAAGACCCTGTGTTCTCAGTTGATCCTGCAACAGGAAAACCATTTAATGATTTAGTTAAAGCTGCCTCTGGATCTGGGCCAGAATCAAGTTCCAAATGGAGCTGTAGATGGCATTCCTAGAGAGACCAGGTCCAGCATCGATGCATGTTTTCTATGTGTCACACATCTGTACCGTCACTCCACTGCCTGTTTATTGATTTACATGTAAACCACTTTTGGGTGCAGATGCAAGAAATTGAAGTACGTACTAGCTTCTTCAAGTTGCAGTTCAAATATAAGGCCAGTACTGCTCTGAAATTTCAAAGTAGTTCATAACTTGGCCTAAACGGACGTTCATCCTTGAATATTTGGGCGAAGCTGAACATTGATTATCACATCATATTGATCAGAGACATTTAGTTAATCAGTATATTTGGGTTATGCTTTGCATTCATTGGAATCAGGTTTCAGTTAAACTTTGTACCTGTTTTATAGCTGACCCATTAAGATATCACAGTGCATTCCTTTTTGTGTCCATGCTCAGCAATTGAAAGGAACCGGGTCAACTCACACAGAGCTGACAATAATATATTGACATAGTTCTGGCCTGGGTTTTGTACAAATTACAAGTTGAAGTAACAGCCCCAGCGCTATCGTTACGACATAGCTGCCCGCATCTTAACTTTAGGCTCTTACCATGACAGTATATCTTTCCATCTGTCTATATCCTTGTATATGTATTTGCTAAAAGTTCTATGTATCCATAGCATACATCTAGCTTAATTATAGTTTATACTGCTCCAAACAAAATGATTTTCATGGAAATCCTACAGCTTCTATCACCATCACCTCACAAAGCCCAGTGGTCGAAATACTTTTTTTTCAGTGCTCTGCAATATTGCAGAAGAGTCAAAATTTTGTTCTGCAATTTGAAATCTCCACAGCCTCCATACTACAACCTTCTCAAACCATGAATGCACATCATTACCAGCATCTTCACTGGTCTTTCACCAACCAGTATCTTCACGGGTCTTTCACCGCTGTCTCCCACTACAAGCTACTACAACTAAAATAATACCTTACCTTTAAATGTACTAGTAATCACACCCACATATCATCCTTCCACATAACATACTAATAAAAGACACACAAAAAAACAGTACGATTTTTTGGTGCTACCTGAAACGGTCAGACTACTACCTTTCGTCAGTGACACTAAGGCCATGTTTATGTGAAGTCAACCAAGGCGCTTTACATGTGGTTTACCCCGAAGCCGGTTACAAGTGGCTCCATCTGAACGCTCCAAATCACATTGAAAGCGCCTCGATCCCAAACCACTTCTAGAGGTGGTTTCGAATCGGTTTTCCTGCATCGCAATTTGCGTCTGAACGCAATGTGATTTCAATGTGACTTCACCTGGTCATGGATAACGGGGTGATATTTCTTTATTTATATGCAATACCACATTTTACGTGGTAGCAACTTAAAGAGAAGTAATGGTCAAATAATGTGTCCGTTCTAGGACGAGCTTCACTGCCTCTGGCGGGACCACGTCGGCATTCGGCCGAGATACGCTGGGAGGGGGGCATCAGCAAGCAGGTCGTTGACCCCTGACATTGATAACACGCCACCTTGCGTGTTTTCATCAAACATCAATGAATGCAGTTTCGTAGAATCGTGATCGGACACGGTTTGCAAGGAATGTATGGCACGTGGACTAGATGTGAGGAATGTGAGTTATCCGAATCGCGGTTTGGGTGACTTCACATAAACTCGGCCTAAGAGAATTGCAGGTTTATAAGCACGACCTATTGAATGATTCATATGCAAATTAGTGAAGACAAATTTTTGGAAGTCCAAAGGGAAACAAAAGATAGACGAGTCAAGACAAGGATGATGCAAATTAGTGAAGAAGCTCCTGTTGCTTCAAAACAGGACCTTGAGTGTTGTCTGTCCTTGGGGCCAGAGAGTTCTAGTTTGCTAAATTGAAAATTATTGAATCTGGAGCCTATTTTTCCTTCTGCAAAATTGCAGATTGTATAAATTTTTCTTCTGCAATCTTGAAAATCTATCTGCAGATTGCAGACTGCAGACAGGTATTTCGAACACTGAAGCCTATGTCCAACACAGAAAAGGGCTGAGAAAGAAGTCTTTTAGCTGCAACAATGAATTCAATTATTCCTTGCTTGTAAAATTGTAAAAGCAAAGTACTGATTGAATCAGAGATATTCCCTTGCATTGTTATGGGTGTATGAAAGAAATCAATGATGATTTAGTTATCAGTCCGGTGACTAGTACTTAGGTAATGACTTGAGCTGGCCTTCAGTTATATCTGTCCAGGCCATAATTGCGCTGATCAATTTCTGGGCAGCCAGTCTAGATTGTAACATTTACGTCATTCAGGAGTATTCGCTCTCTGAGAGGCTAATTGCCTATCTAATAGATTCTGTGAAGGTGACATTACACTCACGCACAGGGCAGATTTTGCTTTTGGCAAGCTAATGCAGGGTTGGACAAGTTTTCAAAAATCCACTTGCCCTACCGGGCAAGTACCTGGTCATTTCCACTTGCCCGAACCAACTTTTCACTTGCCCAAAATATGACGCATTTCGATTCATTTTACTAGCAGAAAGGAAATTATTTTATTTATTGGATGCTTTATTCATCAAAATTGTTTAAAACTTGATCAAAATAATGCAGGGGCTATATACTTTGCATCTCAAAAATTTACTTGCCCAATCGGGCAAGTGCAGGGACATATTTACTTGCCCGAACAGTACTTTTACTTGCCCTGGGCAAGTGGGCAATGGGACTTGTCCAACCCTGTAATGGGTACGTTTCACCATATATATGCACCATTTCACCATATATATGCAAGTACCACTTCAGAATGTATACTACTTGTAGTTGGCAGTTATACAGAATTATAAATGATAGTCCACTTAAAGGTCATGGATTGTAATGGAAAACCTGGCATACCTGCAGGCACACTGACTTTGTACGTCGGATTCTGATTGTAGGATAATCAATTTCTCTATTCCTGTTCTTTCATCTTCAACTACCAGTAGCTAGGAGGGAGAGGCAGCAGTGCAAATACTCTCTCACAGCATGGTTATTTACTTTCAACCCAGAAGTACATTGAGCCCTATGCCCAGTGGCTATGACTGAAAGCTGGATACCAGCTGTTTGGGAAATAGAATCAATTATTGATAATTGTGTTACTGTGCTGGTTGAACGATTTGAATGGAAACCACAAATTAGCAAATTATCAGTGATATTAAAGGGTGCCAACTCCACATTTTCTTTCAAACTTACTGGCAAGACAATATGAAGGATTCCACAAATATTGTATATACTATTACAGATATATTTTTCAAATATTTTTTTTAAAGGTAGAATGAAGGCTGAAAGGAATATATTTTCTTCAGTTAGAATATATTTGTAATTTTTTTGGATGGGTGCTTGGCTCCTGGAAATGTGCCATAATCATGATACTGTATTACTCTATTTACAAAAACGTCAGGTCTGTATTAGTGGTTTAGCTCAGTCATATTGTGGGACTTGAGTTATAAATAATGCAAAAATATCTTTATGCAGTCGCAAGCATTTCATGTGCAATTGTACAGTGTTTTGTCTACTGTGGCATTTGAAATAGAGGTTATCCCAGTGATTCTTGATATTGAAAGGCCACA